AAGAAGCATAACAGCTCAAAATCACTGCAAAAGTGTGAACATATTTTAAGGAACGCTGACCTGGCATTACTCTTAATAGTGGTGGCATTCGTTCTCCTTCCAAAAACACTGGCCTTTGACTCGCACGACTCATTTATTAGGCAGCCTTCGCACACTTCAAGAGAATGATAGCGTCAGGAAGCTCCTGAAAAAAATTGTGCCGCTTCCCAAAAGCATCATAAAAGTTATTGATGTAGTCTGTATTGTGACACCCCTTCTGGCAAATCACCCGCATCAAACGCTGAGTATCATAAGACGACGATAAGATGAGATGAGTTGCGTTGTCTTCTGAGGTTCCCTCGGCCGTAACGACATTGTCTTTTATTGCTAAAAGCCACCTCAATCTTTTCACGTCTCCGGGGCTCGGCAACAGTTAACGTGAGAGAGAGAAAAAGTGAGCCGAACCTCGTCTCAAAGAGGACTGTGAGCAGTAGGTCAAGATGAACATTGATCAAAGAGTGGAAGAAAAAAGGATCCAGGCTCAAAGAAAGTACATGATTAGACTTCAGCAGCTGTTCTCATTCGCAAACGCTTAGCGACAAAACACTCGAAGAGAAACTTTGTAATTGATCACGAAACAAAAAGAATCGCAAAGTCCATTTGCTTGATGAACACAAGCTAATTCTGCTCTCATGAAACTTGATAATGAACGTCAGTGCAAAGGCCTTTCTTTGTTTACATAGTTTCTTCAAGCACTTTGTATTGAACTTAGAAACACAACAGATGTGAACAATAGTGTAATCTAGAGTGAATTCCATCATGTCAGCTTGAATCGAAAGGGCATGAAAGTAAATTACCATAATTATAATCATGAGCAGTTAGGTTGCTCTTCCTGCTTTTCTGACATGAACCAGAATGCAGTGTTATAAAGACAGAAAATGCTTGAAAGTGAGTGTTCAAAAGACATCCATTATGTGATTTTTAGGTTTATCCTCTCACCCTTTGTGAACGGGGCAGTTAGACAATGCGTTTTCCTGTAGTGTGGAGCCTTTGTGTTTTGAAATAATGGAAGCATACTCTGGTAGTACATCAGACAAGAAAAGAGTTGCATGTAAAACAAATCAAACACACTTTGACAAGAATCAAGCTATGGCCGGTTTTACTGCATTAAGCTGCGTTCACACTACACGCGACCAGTGGCTGCGCTGGAGGGCGTTCCCACTACTGGTTGCCTAGTAATGTTTTTGAGTGACATTCACGGATGTTACTCTATGTTAGACAACAAATACGTTTTTTGCTGCTACAAACATTTTGGAAAGAAAAGTCTAAATAAAAATGGAATCAGTATTATGCATAAAATGCATAATATTAAAGATGAATGAGAAACAGTGAGTGCTCTTTGCCATCGTGGCAATGGCAAGAAGCTACAAGAAGCTTCCAATGGCAAGTGAAGAGTCCTACACAGTGAGTTTTTTTCTGTTATTTATTTCGGACTTTGTCACGAAGTATTTCAAATTCATATAGAGCTTTGTTTGGTTTCGCAACGTTAGACTTTTTTTTTTTATCAGATTCCGAGACGTTTTTTTTCTTTTTAAATCAGATTCCGACACGTTCCGACATTTTTTATCAGATTCCAACACTCTAGTTACCACATCTGCAGCTGTGGTAACTAGAGAAGAGCTGGCAACCCGAATGCCGCAACACTACTGACTCCATGATTGGTAGATCGGTGGAGGGTGACGCATCAGAACAAAACACAACATGACATTATCAACAAGTTGAAGTTGGGCTGCAACTTCACTTTTTAAAGGACAATATCCTGGCCGGACTACTGTTGTCAGTGATATGTGTGTATACATGTATACATCACTGACTCTGAACTGCTAGCTGCTAGATTTTTCAGGCAAAGGCAAATTTAAATGGCTAACACTGGGGTGCTAAGAGGACTTAACTCATTAATGAAAGGATAAAATAAAGCATGATGGACAACCAAGTCCATCAAAGTGACAGGTAATGATTATCTGTAGCACAACCTCTGCACCCACACTGTCCAAATGTCCCACAAATGGATTAAAACTCACCAGAATTTAAAACATTGTGAGAATAAACACACAGTCACACACCCGTCACTAAAGCCATTGTGTTGCTTGAAAAACCTGACTAAAGCCATTCATAATGAAGTAATGAAGCCATTTAGAATGAGTGACTGGTTGGACAAAAAAAAAAAAAAAAAAACTGGTCGCAACTCAAAACCCTTTGGACTTCACGGCCCGTAAGCAACCGCCAAATCAGCCCTGTGGTTAATCTGAGCTTGTGTGTCCCACATGGGCATTACAGCTCAATGTGTTTGTGCATGTGCCAAACGCTGAATCTCATTTCAGACAAGGCAACATTTTTCATAATATTGGCTCATAATTCACATAGAATTTAAATCAATAATGTGCCCATGAAAAAAATCCTTAGTATATTACAAATTATATAGAAATTATTTAATTGTAATAAAATGCATTGTAAACCCAAAAAATACATGCAATTTTAGTGCTACAATCATTATCAGGCACATAATGTACACAATTTGTAAAAAAAAAAAAAAAAAAAAAAAGCAGCAAAATCAAATTGATGATGCCACAAAGCTACCCTCTCTGAATAATAAAAGAAATACAATAAAAATGCACCACCAATGTTTCAGTGGACTAAACATAGACGTTGCACCTCTTGCACCTAAACTGTCCAAGAAGCACAAGCACTAGAATACATAATGTGGAATGTCTGACTAAGACATAAATGCATGATGGGAAAGACACAGTAATGTTTTGTTTCAAAGATGTGTGCATGAACCTCAGCATAGCTGTTTGTGACCAACAGTAATCTGACAGCTATTAGAGTACTTTCACAAAATAGTTATATACATATACACACACAAACATTCGTGCACATGCACACACAAAGTGACTGCTTTCAAATCATCTCAACTACCTAGTGAGTGTTTGTCATCATGCACAACAATAGCAATTACCCTTGAATGATTTGCAGTGCAATGCGATGCCTTGTTGCCAGGCAACACTCATGTTAATGAAGAAAGCCCATTCTCTAAGTAAAAAAGTATAGGGCACGTTACTCGGCCGACAGAAGGGGGGCTTGAAAACGATCTGGATCACAGCGGTTCAGCTGTGATGCTTAAGCAGCTGAAATCAGATGTACCGAAGAGTTGTGCTTTTGAATGGATCCAGCCCTTGAGGGTTTCAAGAACAACACTGAATGTCAATAGATACTTGGGTTTTCCTAAGTACATTTCATTTTCATTAAGAACAGATTTCTCCCTAAACTAGGCAAGTGCGCATTGGGCCCATTCCCAGAGGTTTTACACTGGTACTCAGCATTGATGTATATATTGTCAGGAGACCATACTGTAGATACCTGATCGCAACACTTACTTTCATTAAAGTCAATCAAAAGCCACTTTAGGGAGAATTAGAGTAATGTTTTGCACTCAAGAGTTTATGGCACTCACAGTCCAGTTAATGACCCCTCATTTATTTAATTTGGTCATTTAGGATGCTTATGACGGTAAATTATACAAAGTCAGAACAAGGTGAGTATGCTGAACACACAAAATAACCTGTCTGCTAAGTACCTTTATATTAAAAGGCCATCATGTCAAATGAACTTGACACGTAATCGGTTTCCCAACAATGAAAATTCTAGTATTTACTTACTTTGAATGGGAAGTAAAAAAAATACTATGAATGGGGACTGAGGCACTCAAGCTTCAAAAAGCATGTCAAAGCATAGTAAAAACACAGTCCATATGACCCACTACATGCAGTCTTCTAAAGCCATGATAGTTTTGTAAATAAAAACCTACATTTCTGTCTGCATTTCACACAAACATATTGCATGACTTCAAAGGACTTGGCATATTGTGCATACATCATATGTCCTTGGTGTATTTGTCTGGTCATTTTGAAGCTTTCAAGTCATCATTCACTTTAATTAAGTTTTATTAAGAGTAATCAGAATATTCTTCATATATTCTCTTTTTGTTTTCCATGTAAGAAAGTCAAATTAGGACGGGTTAGAAATGACATGAGGTTGAGTATTTTTATTTCAATGTGAATTATACCTTTGATCCTATTGTCACAAATATGAAAAACATACAATGTATGCTTTGAGGTATAAAGAAGACTTCTCTCATTTCCTACCCCTTCCATGTCTGACATCTGCAAAGTTCTTATTATGATTGTGCATGCTGATATTTAAAGCATGCCTCCTAGAGGCCTTACATTAACCCCAATGTTCAACATCACCTTAACTTAGACCATTATATTAGAGCTTAAGTAATCTGTTCCACATGTTCAAACCAGGATCCGACAATAAATTAGAGTCAGTCACAGGTTTTAGCTCCACATCCGGCACGTAACTTGACAGTATGCATAAATCAAATGCAAAGTTTAGTCTATAGCTTTTAATTTGATCAAACTAATCCATGTTGTCTCTATAATCAATAACTCGTTTTATGCATCTAGTTTTCTTTAGATTAGAGCATTAAGATATTGTACATATTCCGATCTTAAAGTTGCAATTCTGACTGAAATTCATCTTGCTTTAGTTGTATACATGTGAGAATATAGTCACTGACTGAGAGAGCAAGTGTACTACTCTTGTAATGTCTTAGAGTGGCAATTTGAGAGTCATTTTTGATTTTTACTACCCAGAAGCCATTGATTCATAAATGTAATTGCATATTTCAACCTATAGATTTTTCTGCTGGAAATGGATTTGTGAAAAAAAAACAAAAAAACAAAAAAAAAGACACTGCACAAGCAAAAAACGTAGATCTCTCTTGTAAACAAAGAAGTAGTCGGAAAGAAAAAGAATATAGTTTGCGTAATTCAATACACACAGTCTCAGTCAATGGCCCGTCGTACCTCATGTCAGGTGATATTTGCCTATAAACTAAAAGTGCTTGTAATTCAAAACTTTTTACAGCATTAGAAGAATATACCACCATGGTAACTTACAGTGGTGAAGTTTGGAGGGATGCAATCCTCCCCTCTGAAGGTGCACTGCAAGAGCATTTCGTTGATATCGTGGCCTGTGCGGTTGTAGAAATCTATCATGTTGAACTGCTTGGGCTTGTAGTTGGCAAAATTAGCCTTTTCCTTCAACAAAGCGAGGACTTCCGGCTCGGCCAGGTGGGGGTTAGCGATCTGATAGTTCTCGTTGAGCAGTGCCAGCAGCTCCCCAACGTGGTACAGATCATTCTTTGTGATCTTGGAGAAACGAAACTCGTTGAGGTTGCAGAAGGTGATGGCAGGAAAGGTGAGGATGGGCGCCGCCACCTCATCAAGTTTGGTGACGTGAGGGAACTCAAAGTAGTAGTACACTCGGTCCATGCACACAAACATCAGCAGACCTAGAGAGCCCAAGAAGGACAGCGACCATAGGAAGCGACGGAACGTCATGTGCCCGTAGGCGAATATGTGGCTCATGCCATGTAACGTGGAGGAGTTGGCAAAAACTTGGAGGCTGGACGGCCTCGTGCTTTCAATGCTGTCTTCGGAGTCTCCCTTCATGGCTGTCATTTGGTATCCACTGAAAACTAGGTTTCAGGCTGAAATAATCGGTAGAAAGTGTGCAAATGAAGCAATTTAACAAAGCAGCAAGTCTTTGAAGGTAGCTTTTCAATTAGTGGTAGTCCTCACTCCATCTGCAACCTCTTCCACTGTCTCTGAGAAAGCAGCTGTCATTCCATGCAGAACCAAACACAATGACAGCTCCAAAAAGACCAAGTCGCGTGAAAAGACTGGAGGAGTGACGCTGTCCGGTTTCTGAGGGACAAAGCACAAAGAAGTGAAGGGAGACCGAAAGGCACAGAGGAATTGTGGAAAATGTAAACACAGCAGAAAGATCTCGCTCGGCGAGAACAGTTGATTGGAGCGTGCCTCCTCCGGTCGGCACTGAATGGCTTTACATCGCTATGACAATGCCATGGAATGGATTCGTGAATGGGAAGATTACAAGAGCCGAGCGTCTGTTGCTCGTCGCCGGCTACGTCCCCCTGTGCCACTCCCCTGCTGAAAATCAAGGGTCATAGACCTCCTATCCCACCTCTGCGTTTGACAGCCTCAGCTGGGTTCCCAGTCTCTCCTGGATTCGCGGGGAGCGCTGCCTCTTGGTGTTTTGGAAAGCCAATGTGGTGGTCTCGCCTCAGACAGCGAACGTTTCTTCCTCCAGATCTGGAAATGAGGATTTATGCACCTCTGCCGGCTGCCTGCCACCCCTCCTCTCTCTCCGTTGCTCTTTAGTAGTCAGGATCCATCCCACTGCTGAGCGTCTGCTCCGCCACAGCCTGTGTGTGTGTGAGAGAAGCATGGGGGAGGGTGCTAGCGGGGCTGGGGGTACTTCGACTCCAGGTTTTGTATGAAAGAAAAGCTCTCAATGTGCAATGCTGTATTTCAGCTACAGGTAGTTGCAGAGAAGCAACCATCTGTGCCATGTGATCGTATCTGAGGAGGTTGGTTTTGCATGAAAGCACATCCTCATTTTCCCTACTGAACCTGCATCTTAATTTAGTTGAGATGAACTCGCATGGTTTTTTATCTTTTCAAGACACCATTTGAATGACCAGTAGCAAACACGTCGGTCAAACAGGCTCGATTTATGGACTGAGGCTCAATCAATCAATACCAATATGCAATGTATTTTGAGGGTTAATAGTTCAGGGATCCCTTCACAGCCCACTAGCAAATCCACTATGATGCTCAAAGGAGAAAAATTACCATAACAATGGGTGAATGGTCACGGTTAGAGATCTTTCTCAACCAAATGAAATCAATATCCAATCAATGTTGAAAGGTGAGGTAACATGGGAGTAAAATAATACTTGTTTATATTTAATTGTTGCAGGGTCTCATTTTTAATAGACACAATTCAATTAAAGCTACGATATGATTTTTGTAATAAAATATCCAAAAATCACTTGCACAGTGGGATATATTTCTTGCAATTAATTTACACTGTGCACTTACAATATCCTAAAAGTTCCCAAAGACTTTTAATTTCAGAGAACCACTCTTTTATGCATTTTATTAAACAGGTGAGCAAATGTACAAAAAACTAATTAATGTTATATAGCTCAACATGATGCAATGTAAGAATATGATCAGTATGTAATTCTAATGTTGTTCTAGCTCACTGCTAGTCTCATACTGACAAACTAACACAGATTAGCATTCTAACTTTCAAAACACTCAAATTCAGTTTAGTGTGATAGTAGACCAAGTGAAGCAGCGCTGCGTTACCTCACAAGTTTAATTAGTCAAATAAACTGACCTGTGTGAGTTAATTCAGCACTTGCGGGTAATTCGGTAGAATGAAATGTCCTTATATCCACGAGACTCACGTGTAGTGCTGATATCTTGTCTTTTATTAGCAATCGCACCCTGCTTCATACCACAATCATGTTAAAAACATCAATTAACATTATTAGATCCAATATCATGACAGCAAGTTCCATGATTCCGCTTATTCCACTGCGTCATCAATCTACGCCTTTGTTATTGTAAGATGTTAGAGACCCCTAGAAAAAATTACATATTGTAGCTTTAACGTCAAATTTAGTTTGCACTTGCATCCTGGCCAATGGTAAATAAAAAAAAAAACTGTTTCAGAACTGTTCACATAGACCAGATGGAGTCTGTGTATATGAATTTATATTCTGACTTTTGCAAATATTGTAATGTCTGGATCCTGTTTACAGGCTCTCCATTATAGCAAATATGCTGAGAGTGAGGATTAGCATATTACAATATTATTCTGCATATTTCTGCATGTAAATTACTGAGCAGCCTCCGCTAAATCCATTGTTATGCTTAGACTGAGCAAGCTTGCCTTGTGTAGGTAGCATATCCAAAACAAGTCCTTGAATAAAAGGTAGACGGATAATGCAATAACAAACATGGGTTTATATTTCACATACCGCTGCATGATTGATTACCACACATTCCCGGATGCGACAGATGCGGTTTAGCTGTTTAACAAGACAACCAATCAGTAACAAAGAAAAGCAGTTACCACTGAGACACACTATGAAGAAATTCAAGAATGAAGAGCAAAAAATGTAAAAAAAGTTAGTGAAATAAACTAAGATTCAATCTTAAAGTTGGACTTTAAAAGGAGGGGCAGCACTTAATCAGAGAGAGGGCACTCCAAACACCATGATGGAGCTTTTAATATGCCAATTGCCTGACCAAATGTGCAAACCACTTTACACTATGGGAGTTGCTGTTTTGAGTATGTTCCTACGTACTTCCTACAATCACCTGAAGGTTGAATGAATAAAAGATCCTGAACCTGGTCACCAGTCATCAACAGCTGAAATCATATCTCACCAAGATGAGTCACCAACAAAACAACCATAAAACTAATTTTCTCGACAAAACCATCAAAATATAGCAAACTATTAGCTGCTTTTAACCAACATTGGCAGAAAATCAGTTACAGGCTATTTGTCTAATTGTTTATTGGTCTCGTACATCGACCAGGAGAATTTTTTGCTTCGACATGCTACAGCAATGCATTTTTTTAGGGCTTTCTTACTTGCACTGGTAAAGATCTAGTGTTAACTCACTTGACATCTTAATCCTTTTAGACAACGATTTGCTTTTTTCGTCCATTTGTCAAACCATTTATGTCTGATCCAATGGATTTCACTTTGTACATAGATACAAAGATACATAAATAACACCTGGAATAAGATTAAAACTCTGAAATAGTAGTCACATCAGTAAACACAATTAAAAACAATTAACTTGGGAAGACATTCTTTTGCCACAGGACTGAATTTAGTACATTTAGTTTAGTCAAGTAAAGAACTGGCTCCCTTTCAATTCTTGAGTGTGAATGTGAATTGGCCACACCACAGGAAGTTAAATTGGAATTACAGGAATAAAAGTTGTATTAAATATAAATATGTGAATATATATTAAACATAAATCTCCACAGGTGACATTTCAAACAGATCTGTTTGAAAAACAAAAATTGTTTGGAAGTTGTCAAGCTATCATTTAAAGTTTGTCTTGAAAAACATTCTTTCTAGTTAAATTACACTTATTGCAGTTACAGTATATGAATTTCTTTTTAAATTCTACTTTTCCATTCAAATTTCAATTCTGTAATTCAAATTCAGCGGCTTAACTGGTTTAAGCATTCATTTTCAATTAAATTCCAAATGGTGCAAAACACTTCTATGCAATATTCAATAAGGAACTGTACAATGATTGATCTGTTTGACATATAATTAATGTGATCAAAGCTTGATTCAATACAACCCAATGAACACTTGGCATCGGTCAGGAAAAGCACAACAGCTTGTCAATGCAGAGATATTTTGGCACAAACCATTAGATTAATCCCTCAGGGAGTTGACCTAAGGTCATAAGAGGCCATGAGGAACAGGCTTACTGTCATTCATACACTGGTTCATAAGTACTGGACTATTGCCACTCTCTAGCCAACCCACTAAGACTTCTCTTTTCTTGTTATTGTAATACAACAACAAATAAAAGTTATAGGCAGAATGTGAACTTTAAGTTAATTGAGGACCAATGGTGTTTGGCTTCACACTGACAGCATGTTTGAATGGGAAATTAGATTAGAGAAGCTAAGTTAAAAACTATGTTCAGAAGACCACATTTATGATCCTTTTTATGTGCTTTTCAGGGTTGAAATATAAAAATTCCATCTGCTACCAATAAATTATAATTATGTCTAATAACCGTTAAAAGACGCATTACATTTCTTTACTATTGTGTCAACATAAAAGAAAATTACAAAAAGTAAATAAAAAGCAAATACCATTTTAAATACATAATACTTACAAACACAATTGTCTGAAGAGTGAGTTTAGGCATCACAACCATTTAAATAGTGAAAAAGGGATTCAAGACTACATTTAAAGGGATACTTCACCTCTGGAAAGATAAATGTGTATATAAAATGGGCCATTTATGTAGAATAAATATGAAAATATTTTTTTAATTTGGAGCTTTCTAGACTGAGAAAAGCCAGAATATGTATTTTTGGCTTATGTGGATGAAAGACAACAACTCCCAGAATGCACTTCTTTCGCTGCCCTAGGAGGCCACGCCTACCAGTAACAGAGCGTTGTATTTAAAAAAACAAGTCTAGGCTACTAGTGAGTCTCCGTGATGAGTCTGCCAGAAAATGTGTTTCGAGATCGCCCAAAATGTCCGGGATTCAGCTTTTGCGTTCTACAGTCGCCATTCACCATGTTTACTGTGGCAAGAGGGATGAGTGAGGGCCGCGGGAGAACGGCGCGAGTCATGTGTACTGTGGCGAGCGGGATGAGTGAGGGCCGCGGGAGAACGGCGTGAGGCCAGTGGCGTGATTACCGATGAGCGACACCTGTGAGACGCACCGGTCTCGTATCGCTCACAGAGGAGCGGGAATTTTCTTAGCAATGTTAAACACACATCAACCAATCACTTGTTTAGCGTTCATGTAAACACTACATTCAGATTCAGATCAGAATGAATTCAATTAGATTGAAATAAAAGCTGTGCATGTAAACAATAATGGCGATTTCAGAAAGCAAAAGTTGAATCCCGGACATGTACGGGAAAAAGAGGATGGTAACCCCTACCACTCCACTTTCTCCACAAAACAAGAGCCTACTAGCTTAGCTTAAAAAAAAAAGATGGCTGACACTATGTGTAATCCTAATCCTCCATAATGCATCCGTCTGCATATTCAGTACCTTCATCCTTATTTTCAAAAAGTTTCTGTCGGTGAAATCAAACGCACTGGCACTGATCTGTGATTGGTCTGTTAGTGCATTAGGTCCAGCCCCCTATGGGCGGGTTTGAAAGGGTGAGATCTAGTGCTTGTAGTCTTTACAGAAATCCCCCCCTCTTACACTTCCTCCTACAATGACGTAAAATGACGATTTTTGCATTATTGTAGGAGGAAGTGAAAAAGGTAAATAGCGGATTTCTCTCGTCTCAGGGGAAAATGAGAGTGTTGCACGACCATTCAATAGTATGACTGGGTTTCTAACAATAAAATGCTTAAAGCAAATGGGTGCTATCATCTAACACTTGCTTAATTCATTAAGCAAGTGTTTGATAGCACAGCCATGCATCTATAAAAATAGTTAAATAAACATGCACAATTAAAAGTCAGATAAATATTGTCAGATAAATCAATTTAAATATCTGATAACCCGATACATCACCAACATATTATGCAACAAGCCCTAGAAACAATTTAGTTTCATTACATGGAAAAGAGCATGAACATGCTGTTTAACATCAAGTTTTGTGAAAGGCAAATAAATATATTATTCCATCTATAAAAGAAATGAAGGGCAAGACAGGAGAAAAAAAAGTGATACAGCAGTGATACACACATTCACCAGACACGTCGTTTACCAGATAAAAAATATATAATTGTTCAATGGGCAGTTGGAACACACTCAAAATCCCATTCAGCCGAGAATATCGCT